ATCCTAAAGTATCTCTTAAAATGCCAAAATCATCATCTCTTTGATTTAGCACATTGTCGCACTAACAATAAGTTCAGCGGCTTAAAACTTCAAACATAAAAATTTTATTTCTGTCCGGAAACTATATATACAAAGTTTTTTAAATTGACTTTTATAACTTTTTAATAAGAAGCGTTTTAAATAAAAAGCTGCAGAAGCCAAATTATAAAACTTTTCAATGACACATATGTGATAAGCGATGACATACGTAATGTTCATATGCGATAACAAAAATAAGTATTGTTAAAAATTTTGCAATAGGAAGTTTAAACTATAATTTTGACTCAATTTTCAAAGAATGATAAGATATAGCTTTCCTTTATAAGGAAGTTTTCCATACGTCAAAGTCTTACATTCGCCAATTGTTCTTAGGAAGTGAAGGAATACCTTCGTACTTCGTAGGAGTTTAGTATTTTCGGACTCCGAGCATAATTCGTATTGCATACTGTAATCATGCAGGCATTGCGCGCATTTCTACTTCTAGCCATCATTGGAACTGTTTTTGCACGTGTAAGTATACATTTTGATACGTATTATAATAGTGTACGATACATTAATACATCATAATAGTTTCAAAAATGTTTTATTACAAAAATTTGTCTCATGCATTTGACCTATTAACTTGTTAGAGGAAAATAATGTTATTAAAAGTACAAAGACACACGTTCATAAATAAAATTAAGCGTTTAAAAGAAATATAAAAAAGATGAATATTTTAGTAGAATATCCAATACAGGACGTACATTAAAAGAATGTCCTAAAAATGTGTAAAGGATATCTTCTATGCCCTGAGGACGTTTTTAGAACACCTTTTAGATGAAATGTGCTGTTTGGGATAATATACCTGTTACGGAATATATTACATTTTTAAGATATAGCATATATATTTATTTTAATTCAGCGTGATAAATAATATTTTTTAAAATAACGTTTATGATATATTAAAAAACTTCTAATTGCAATAAAAAATATGGCACCAAAACAACAGAAAATTCTAGATATTTAATCTACACCGCAGTAATACTAGAGCAGATTTATTTATTTTCAGGAAATATCAAGTAACATATAATATATGTGTTATATTGTAGTTATATTGTTAAGTGGAAAATTAAAGCAGGTTTGTTACATGTTACTTGATGTTTTCTGGATTCGAATTTACTATATCTATCTAAAAACTTCGATTTATTTTGTTCATGTAACTGTTAGTTATATATAAAACTTGTCTATTAATAAGTTTATTTTAATTCAATCGTCTATTTTCTTTTTAATTAGACTTATGACACAAATCAAGATGAAGCTCATGGAGATACTGCGGCAACTTATTATGATATATGGGTAAGAATTAAATATAAGAGTAAAAAGCAACTACACACAAAAAGTAAATTAAATTTATTGTAAGATTGCAAAAAGTATCTGTTCTTAAAAAAGTTGAAAAATATGTATAACTAAAAACGTTTAATTATATGACTAATTAACACTATAAAATCATACTCAGAATAATTTATGATTTACCTAACCATAATTAATTTACATTCTTTGAATTAATTATACTTAAAATCCGTATTTCTCGAGTATTGAAAGTTGAAATGATTAAATTTTAAAGGTTTAAAACAAATTTTGGTAATTCTGAAATTGTATTCATTATTTATATAAATATGAATATTTTAAACTAAACATTGCGACAATTATTAAGTAAATTAAATTGTCTATCATGCTTATCATAGAATACATACCGACAGAATTAAATAAAAACCATTTAATTAATCTGAAATAACGCCAACACGGTCAAAACGGATCTTGGTGTTCGACAATATTTTAAAGTGTGAATCTTACAATTTTCCGGTTCAAATAAACCTATAATAATAACCTAATAACTAAAAATCATTTAGTATTATTATTTTTGTGTACATGATATTTTTTTAAATGTTGCAGTCAAACATTATAAATGCGCTTAAGGAAATGCCTATAATTGGACCTATTCTTAAATTTATACTTCCTCTTCTTCAATTGTTTTTTGGAGGCCGTTTTAATTATTATGGCTAATAAAAATGTATGTTCTTTAAAGAAAAAAAGAAATATGGTGTTAGTTATAAGTAAATTTTTAAACACTAAACATTACCTTTAAAAAGATTTTTACCAATGATTTCTAGAGTTTTGTATATAGATGAGTTAATCTTCTTGCAGAAAGGATAACTTCTATTATCGTCACCGTAACGGCACTATTATGAAATACCTTTTCTATGAAAAAATGCACTTATTATGAGCACTTAAAATCTCTATTATTATTATTTAACTTGAATGTACTATCTCTTTTTGAATATTAAATTCTAAAATTACATGTACATATAAATATTACATGTATATGACAGTTGTAATAAATAAATAATATATTGAGCAACAGGATTTGGCTATGTTTTCACAAACACACACATACACACATATTTCATAGTAAATTGCTTGTAAATAATAAGAAATTATTATAAAGCAAGGAAGGTAATAAAACATTACTGTTAATAAAAAATACTGGTATAAATGAAAATATACATACTTTTCAAAAATGGAAAAATTAAATTAAAAAGTATAAAAGCAGGATTAGCAAGCAACGTGTTATTTGTGAATGAATTTGTGAATATGTAAATTAATGCAGGTATAGTTTCAAAACAAATTAATTCTATCAGTTTTCACTTTCCTATTTTGATCTGTTACACTTAATCTAACATGAAATAATTTTCAAAAGAACAGGAACGTACACCTCATGACACTGCATGTGCCAATTCACATAATTATTTTTCATGATTATGTAAGCTGGATAGTGTTATCGTGGCATTGAAGACGTTATTATATGTATACTTATATGCAAACGATCAACGATAGCGTTTATGCGCTATCAGGAAATTTCGAAATATAATGTGACCTTAGATAGATTGTTTTAAAAACGTTGCCGCACATTTTCTAGAAAAAGCATTTTTTGCGATATCGCACAAGTTGCGTATAAATTATGAAAATTATCCGAATGTAACTCATTCCTTATCTATTTACCAATTATTACCATAACAATTTAATATTGTGCAACAACTTTAAATTCGTAATATGACATTTATGAATACGAAAATAGGAATGTGTAATAATATTCTCTTTTTTTTTTCAAAAAAATAAAAATAATTTTTAAAAATGAAAATAACAGGAACAATTTTATAGTGGTCTTACAATTAATCTTAATATATGTTGTCAAGATCATGATCCTGAACAACATTCGAAATGTTTTAAACATTGTTCAGGATATTTAGGATAATGTTAATGCTGGCGGTACTGTTCTTTCAAGTTTTATAAGAGATTTGATAAAGAAATACTTTATTGTAATATTTTGGAAAGTTCTAGAAATAAGCTACAAGAATATGCAATAAAAAATGAAGGATTCCATTTAAAAATGTATTTAAAATCCATTTAACAATTTAAATTTAATTTAACCTTCATATGATTTTGCAGACTCAACACAAAGTCTTATTAAATAGTTAAATTCTTGCCTCCACGAAGTTAGCCCCCCACTTTTAGAATTAAATAATTTCGACAGTTGTGCTGAATTGTGCTAGGTTTGTGCTATATTGTGCTAGGTTTGTGTTACATTGTGCTAGAATATTAAACCCGTAATGCGAAAAAGATCGGAAGAGCACACGT